CTTCCTGTTTTTTTTGCCCGGTTTTTTTTTTTTTTTTTTTTTTTTTGATACAAGGTCTTTGAGCTCAAACTATTGGCCTTGAATGTGATATGTAGCTGATGTTGACACTGTATTCCCAATCATCTTACCTCTGTCTTTCAAGTGCTGTTATACAAGGCTTGTATCATCATGCCCACCACTTTATCTTGATGGCGGTAAGATTAGGAAAAGCCAAGACCTAGTAGTTTCCAGGCCTGTGAAGAGCAGAGCCAGAGGGTAGAGAGGGAGCCATTGTCCTCTGGCTGCCATGGATGCAGGGCTTCTGGTCTGGGTGGCCTCCGGCAAGTTTTCAGATGGCTCATCCTTGGGGGAAAGTGAATGTTGATGCTGAAGAGGTGGTACCCTGGGATGGCCTGCCTCCAGCTGAGTCTTATTTCTCCACCCCTTACCTTGGCCCATGCTAAAGGTAGCCAACCAGAATCCTGGGCTTGCTGCAGGTTCCTGCAGCCTTCCCTTGCCTGGGACAGTTGTGGTGACGGTGGTGGGAACACAGGAATTTGGGAACAGGAATCTGATTGTGACTCTCTGAGCCTAACTGACCATGGATAATCCCCATGCTGAAGGGTCATTAGAAGGCTTGCCAGGCCCCTGAGCATCCTGGAGCTACCCTCTTGCCTGGCCAGACCCAACCTCCTCAACTGTCTGCTCCTGTAACCAGGCTCTGGGTGGCTGTCTTAGGATTAGCAGCCCTGATGGGAAAGGGGCTTCTGGCCCCCATATCAATGTTTAACCGGATGTGCAGGTCAATATTTACCAGCAGAGAAGGCAGGCTGAACGGGGGTTGGCTAAGAGCAAAGGTCCTGTGGGAGGAGAGAGCTAGGCCAGGCTGGCTGCACCAGGCAGAGTGTGGAGAGCAAGTGGGTCCCGGAGAACATCGTGTGCTGGAGCAAGAAGCCTGAAGAGGTAGGATCAAAGGGTGGTGCAGCCTTCTCCGGCAGCAGAGGAGATGCGGAGGGGCCCCTGGGCAAGGGGTCTGGCTGAATTGATTCAGGGAGCCTGCAGCTTCACAGTGTCTTGGGGTGTTGAGGAGCAGAAGTGCAGGCAGTTCCAGAAGTCCCTTTAGAACCTCAAAACCTAAAGGCCTGTTCTTTTCAGGCAGAATCATATCCATGTTGGAGATGAGGGCCTGGCTGAAGGCTCTTGGACGTAATGGTGGGGGCTGGGGAGTAACAGAGGGACCCTCCAGAAGAGCTGGCTAGGAGATAAGGCCCAGGTAGGGGTTGAGGATAGGAAAATCTTTATTGGAGGCCTTAGACTAAGACTTGCACAGACCCCTCCACCAGTCTGGCTTCCCCAAAGCACCCTGGAGCAGAATTGGGGGACAGAGTTGGGATAAGGCTTGTGGTTCCCGTAAGTCCAAAGGTATCTGGGCCAGTCATTCATTGGGCTCCGCTACTAGGTCAACAAAGCTGCTTTCTGGCTGCCCTGCCACCCCAGCTGAGCCCTTGGGGCCTTTGGGTAGGACTGGGGCAGTCTGAGAAAGACTGGATGAAGTGAACAACAGGTTAGATGGGTTCTCTGGGGTGGGAAGCCTTCTCAGATACAGATCACTGAGAGCCAGCCATCATACTCAAGGTTTACAGAGATTCTTATTCTGGTCCTCAATCTCTACATGGGAGGGAGGACTTCTGCCATGACTTTACAAGACAAGCTAAAACCCAAAAGAATTAAGGGAAGTACCAAAGGTCCTGTGGGAAGAAGCAGAGGCCAGATTTAAACCCAGGTCTGATCCACAATGTGAGGCCTAGAGAATGAAGACTAAATGAGAAACTACAAGAGTGGAAAGAAATCATGGGAATCCCACTTCTCAGGATGAGGACCACAGCTAATATGCTTGGGTGTGGGTCCAAGTTCTGTATCTTGATGGGGTCAGGGAGCCCATGGGTAGCAGTCTGCTGCCTGATGTTTGAGTGGGAAGTGGGAACTAACCCTCCCTGTCCCGGATACAGGAACATGGCACTGCTCTGGGGGCTCCTGGTACTTGGCTTGTCCTGTCTGCAAAGCCCCTGCTCCATGGTGAGGCTGGGCTGAGGTCTGGGTTGAGGAAGATGCTGTGGGGGAGGGGCAAGTTTGGGAGAGGCCAGAGGGTAGAGAGGGAGGAATGCTGAGCCCAGGGAGGGGTTGGCTCTGAGGAACCTTCTGCCTCTGCTCACCCTCTTCTCAACAGTTTTCCCCTGTGAGTGCCATGGATCTCCCGAGCCAGCAGGTACTTGGGGGGCTTGGGCGGAAGAGCCCAAGGGTCTCACCTATGTCTTGGGCAAAGCAGGGACCTATGGAGAGGTCCCCCATTTCTCCACCTATTTCCTCCTTTCTAAAGCCAATGAGTGAGCAGGCCCAGCAGAAGCTGCCCCCACTCGCCCTCCTCAAGTTGGGTAAACAGGTACAATCAGGTGGGCCAGGGGGAGGAGGGCCAATCAGCAGGAGTAAGGGAATGGGGGAGGGGAGACGTGGTCATGGGACTGGTGTTGGGGGTTCAAAAGGGATGGGGTAGGAATGACCCCAGCATGACTCTTCCTCTCCCCTCAGATCTGGGACAAGGCCTTGCAGCCCTCTAGTACCCAGACTGTGAGGGAGGCACAGAGAATCCGAGGCTGCCCCTTGACCTTACTGACCTCTGGTCTTTTCTTGTAGGATCTCAGTGGCCACACTATCCTGGAGAGGTCCCCAGGAAACTGCAAGAGTACCCCAACTGCAGAGGAGACTCGCAGGCTGGCTCAGGCCATGATGGCTTTCACTGCTGACCTGTTCTCCTTGGTGGCCCAAACATCTACCAGCTCCAACCTTATCCTGTCACCCCTGAGTGTGGCCCTGGCACTCTCTCACCTGGCACTAGGTACTGGAGCAGCACCTGCCCAGAACTAGGAGGCCACAAGGAGTTCAATGCTGCAGATGTTGTCCTTGGGTGGTTCTTCCACCAGGGACACATGGATATTTGGTAGCAAGTAGGTGCTGGAGCTGTCACCACCCTCTGTGAGTCAGAGGATCCAGGGATGGCCTAAGAATGTGGTGATTGACAAATCCCCCTAGTAATTTTAGCACCAGAGTTTGACAGCTACAATATCTTCCCCTGGACACGGGTATTTCACTGTGGGGGACTGTGATTGAGAGAGAGAGGGTATCTTGAGTGAGGTAACATTGGCCAGTTTGTTAGCAGCAGAAATGAAAGTAGAATCTGGGGGTCCCATAGCTCAGTGAATGTGGGAGGGAGGAGACAGTGGTCTATGGCTATGTTCATCATGGGGATGAGAGGGTGGGAGTGGAGAACGGGGCAGCAAAGAACCAGTGGCCTGGGCCTTGGCCTACTTGGTCCCTTCAGGTGCTCGGAACCAGACACTACGGAGCTTGCAACAAGTGTTACACATGAACACAGGGTCCTGCCTTCCCCATCTACTGAGCCATCTCTGCCAGAACCTAGGCCCTGAGACAATCCAACTGGCTGCCAGAATATACCTGCAAAAGGGTAGGTGATGATGGCAGTCAGGTACCCAGGAACTACCCTGCCACCAATGAACAAGGGGGAGCAGGAGGAGCTTAGACTCAGGTAGCCAGGTAGAATACTGGTGGCCGTTGGAGGCCCCAGCCCTGGGATGAGCTTGTGGTTCATTGTGTGCAGGATTTCCCATCAAAGAGGATTTCCTGGAGCAATCGGAACGGCTCTTTGGTGCAAAGCCTGTGGAACTGACTGGAAAGCAGGAGGAAGACCTGACGAACATCAACCAATGGGTGAAGGAGGCCACGGAGGGGAAGATTGAGGATTTCCTCTCTGAGCTGCCAGATAACACCGTGTTGCTTCTCCTCAATGCCATCCACTTTCATGGTGCACTGTTCTTCTTGAGCCCCTCATCCTGACAGCCCCACCTGCCCTGTAGGCTGAGCAGGGCTCTGCCAACTTTGCTCTGAGGTTGCTAGGCCATGAAGCAGGGGATTGTCTGGGTGTGTGTCTGGGAAGCTCAGAAGCTGGCTGAAGCTGTGGAGGACAGACTGCCCTGAGAGAAAACTGGGGCTTCAGAGGGATGGAGAAATACAAGCCCGGATGTAGGAAAGATACCTAAGTTCAACTGGGTGTCAGTACTGGGGGCTTGACTTCTGCTGTTTTTTCGAGACAGGCTTTCTCTGTGTAACAGCCTTGGCTACTGGAACTCTCTCTGTAGACTAGGCTGGCCTCAGACTCACAGAGATCTGTCTGCCTCTGCCTCCGGAGTTCTGGGATTAAAGGCGTGCACCACCACTGCCGCCCCCACCAGCTTTGGCTTCCACTTGCTCCTTGAATGGGTTCTAGGTGGGACAGGCAGGAGGCTGGTCTTATGTTACATGGCTCCTGCCCTCTGCCTGGCTGCAGGTTTCTGGAGGACCAAGTTTGACCCGAGTCTCACCCAGAAAGACTCCTTCCACCTGAGCGAGCACTTCACGGTGCCAGTGGACATGATGCAAGCACAGTCGTACCCTCTGCGCTGGTTCCTGCTGGAGCAACCTGAGATACAGGTCCCCCTGGCTTTCCCAGAAAACTAGGCCTGGTGCTGGGGAGGGGGGGATGGAAGGCTATGCAGGGACCTCAAGGGTGAAGAGGGTACCCCATTTTCCTGGAAGTCTGGTCCCTGGGGATGTGGCTCTGGGAGGGTCTATTATGCCTCCACCTAGACATGGCCTCTTTGAGGTTCATTTGCTCACAGAAAATAGCCTGAGTTTTTGTCATGTGCCAGCTATGTTCTCTGCACTGGGGATTTAGTGGCGCTCAGGAAGACCAGTGAGAGTTCCTCAGGGAAGATAAGAGTTCCCACCCGTGTGGCTCAGAAGGGAGGAGTCTGCCAGGTTGGGTTTTCTGCTCCAAATATTCTGGTTGGATAGAGTTCTGCTCTGAGTGATCTCAGCTGTGGCTTCCCTTGCTTCTAGCCTAACTGTGACTCCTTGGCTGGGATATTGATCCATGGGCCCATTACCTGTGGCTGAGATAACAATATTGGCTAGTTCTGTTTGTTTTAGGGTCTGGCAGTGTTACACAGGCTGGCTTTGAACTCATGATCCTCCTGTCCCAGATGTCTAAGTGCTGGGATCCCAAGTGTGTGCCACCACAACTATTCACCCACACTGCTGTTTGGTTTTACTAGGCAAGCAGGGCACAGCATAGTTAGTTCTGCAGGAAGGAGCCATGTGGGTAGCTTGACTTCTCTCTAGCTCATGTTGAGAAAACAATGGCCTGGTCAGCTCCCCTTAGCTTCTCATCGTCCTGTTGCTCTCTCCCTGTATTACCTATTGTTCCTTCATCCTCTGGCTCCATCTCCCCATCCTCCTGCCTTTTGTCAGCAGGTCCCAGCAGCCAGGCCTGGCACTCCTCTCCCACTGGCAGGCCTCTGGAACTCAGGGAGGCATGGCTTCAGGAGTCTTGAGCCTGGTGTTTTCCAGGCTGCTGTAACTGCAGTAATTCTTCAAAAAGGGTCTTGTGACTTGAGTGTGGTGGCTTACACCATAATCCCAGCACTCAAAAGATTGAGAGTTTGAAGATAGTCAGGGTTACATAACCAAATCCCATCTAAAGAGAAAAGTAATTGCATTTCAAATATTGGCATATGCAGCAAACCCACTGGGTGAAGGGGGAGTTCGAGAGGCAGGGTTCTTACCCTTTCTAGTGGCTCCTCTCCAAGTCATTTTGAAAGCCAGAGGCCCCACCTGTAGGGAGAACTGAGAGGCAAAGACAGGAAGGTCTATAACTTGTTTGTAGCTGGGAGCAGATGGAGAACTCAATCTGTAGTGAAGACACTTGCAGAAGGTTCAAAAGTGTGGTGGGGCAGGTAGCTCAGTTGAGTACTTGCCTGCATGCACAGAGCCCTTCGTTCAACTCCTAGCACCACGTAAACCAGGCACAGTGATGCACATCTGTCATCCTTAGCACGTTCGAGAAGGAGGCAGGAGGACCAAAGGTCAAGGTGGAGAAATGGCTCGGCAGTTAAGAGTACTTGCAGAGTACTTGCTGCTCTTGCAGAGGACCAGGGTTTGATTCCCAGCTCCCACAAGGCAGCTCACAAACATCTGTAACTCCAGTTCCTGGGGATATATGCCCTCTTTTGGACTCTGAGGGCTTTACAAGTACATGATGCATAGACATACATTCAGACGAAACACCTATACACATAAAATAAGAATAAATCTTAAAAAGAAATTCAAAGCCATCTTGAATTACATAGTGAGTTTGAGGACAGCCTGAGGTACATAAACCCTGTCTAAAAAACAAACCAAAATGAAAATTTGGTTTGATGGTATGTATAGCTTTGTAATCCCAGTACTCAGGAGGCAACTGAGGCAAGAGGATCAGAAGTTCACAGCTAAATAGTAATTTCAAAGCCAGCTTTTGATTCATGAGATCCTGTGTTCAAAAAATGGGGGGAGGATGTGGTGGCACACATATTTAATCTGAGCACTCCAGAGGCAGAGGCAGAGGCAGAGGCAGAGGCAGAGGCAGAGGAAGAATCTCTGTAAGTTCAAGGCCAGCCTGGTCTACATAGTGAATTCCAGGACAGTCAAGGCTAAACCTTGCCTAGAAACAACATCAACAAAAAGATGATTAAAAACAAAAAAAAAGTAGAGAGCCATTTAAGAAGACAATCTATGTCAGCCTACCTCTGGCCTTCACACATACATGTGCAAACACAAAACCATACAAACAGGTGTGCATAGGTAGGCACACACAGAGATTTTAAAGCATTATCTCATTTGGTCACATGGGTGGTCACATGTCACCTTGCAAAGGGGCAAGAGATAGTGCTCCATTTCACAGGTGAAGTGAAGGCACATTGAACTTGAATGTGCTCCTGTCTCAGAAGTACAGAAGCAATTTTGGCCCAGACCTCCACAGGTCCAGGTGTTGCCTGGTCCTCATGTTCTCTCCTTTCTTATCTGTAGGTGGCTCACTTCCCCTTTAAGAACAACATGAGCTTTGTGGTCATGATGCCCACTCATTTTAATTGGAACGTGTCTCAGGTACTAGCCAACCTGAGCTTGGACACTCTGTACCATTCCTCACTGCGGGAGAAGCCCACCAAAGTGTGGCTGCCTAAACTCCATTTGAAACAGCAGCTGGACCTGGTGGCCACCCTCAGCCATTTGGGTAAGGGGACTGGGGATTGGGATTGGGGGCCTCAGGTGGTCTGGCAGGGCATGTGAAGAGAGTCCTCCAGCTGGCAGCGTGTCTGACTCAGAGGTAGCCCTTCATCCTGGATGGGAGCAATTGATACCCTCCCCTGGACCTTCTGTCCTGGGAAAGATTGGGATGAACTACTCTGCTACCTGAGCACTACAGCGAATCCTGGGTAGAGTTTGGGGTGATATATGAACCTCATTGTCTAGCTTGGGAAGGGAAGAGGAGAAGCTGGGGTTACCACGTGAAAGAGCTGCAGCTACTCTGCATTAGGGTACTGTGAACGCGCTGTGTACAAAGTGCTCAGTCTAATAGGGTGGGCACACAAAGACTCAGGTACTTCAGCCTAGTATGAGTGGTGAGTCAGAGTGCATCTCTCCAGCTCACTCTAGGAAAATCAAGCTGGTACTCAATGAAGACTCTGATTAAAAACAAAGGGGGGGGAGGTGTTTCTAGAAGTGGTGTCTAGGCTGAGACTTGAAGGTTTTATAGCAATCTGTGGGTTCAAGTGTTCCCTTTAGCCAGAATGTCAGACAGGTCCGTGTAGCCTGGAGGCAGCACTGACCTGTCATCTGTTGCTCTGGGCAAGGCCTGCAGGAATTGTTCCGGAGCCCAGACCTTCGAGGCATCTCTGACAAGAGTCTGGTGGTGTCTAGCGTGCAGCATCAGTCTACCATGGAACTCAGTGAGGCTGGTGTGGAGGCAGCCGCAGCCACCAGCACAGCCATGAATCGAATGTCCATCTCCTCCTTCTTGGTGAACCGACCCTTCATCTTCTTCATCATGGAAGAAACCTTCGGCATACCCCTCTTTGTGGGCAGTGTGAGGAACCCCAATCCCAGTGCACAGCCCCAGTTCCAGGAACAGCAAGATTCCCCTGACAACAGGGTCTTTCAGAATGAAAAGGTTGACTTCCATGGAGACAAGACCTTTGGTCCTGATTTAAAACTCTCACCCCCCTCGGAGGAGGATTACCCCCAGTTTAGCACCCCCAAGTGAGGAGGGGCCGGGGCATCAGCATCCCAAGTCCCCACCTGGATCAGCCTCTCAACTCCTGTGACTTTCCAACCAGCTTTGTGGGATAGGGTGGGGCCTGGGGAGGCAGTCTGCAGGGAAAGGGGGCTTTCTCTTGCAGTAGCCCCTGGGGATAGGAGGCAGGGTGGGGCTTGGAGGAAGGCAGGCAAAAGGAATCTTCATTTCTTCCAAAGGAGCTCAGGGGTGACCTTTGGTGGGCTGGGTGCTCATGGATATAGTGTTGGCTAGAGGTGGATTAGGCCAGTCCCTAGCTTAGTTGGGGTCCCTTCATATTTGTAAGCACAAACTGGAGAAGAAGCCACCTTTAGACATGTCCCCAAACACCCTGAGCTCAGACCTTGGCCTTGCTTGGTGTTGTACTCCATGGGTGGAGGTTGACCTACCCTGACTCTGATGTACCTTGCTGAAAGACATACAGGTCCCCACGGATGTCCCACCACCCGAGTCACCCCTCTGGTCTTTGGAGATGCCAACACTGCCAGGAGCCCCCTTCCTTCCTGTCCCTTGTCCTCTTCTGCAGGGAAGCTCAGGGGCTGAGGCAGGGAAGGGCCCCTTTAGCTCCCAAGACTCTTTTGTAAAGTTTTTGTAGTGACTTTTATGCCACCTGAATAAAGAATGAATGGGCGGGGCTGGTTTGACGTCACAGTTCTGGGCAAGTGGATGTGGCTGGGAGGCAACCAGAGGGCAGATTGCACTGAGCCTTCTCTATGCCACGTTTGGTTTCTGGCCACTTGCCAGTCCTCTCTAGGTCTACCTCCACGCCAGCCTGGCTCAGCTCTTAGCCCTTCCCTCCATGTGTGCCTCAGGCAGCCGGTAACAAGGACGGCTCAAAACTGGCAATTAGGGAGCTAACGGGTCTCTAATTACACCCCAGCGGCTTTGCCAGGAGCAGGCGCCCGCCAGCCGGGGGCAGGCTGACAGTGTCTTGAGGATTTGGGGGATGTAGCTGGGGATACCTTGGCACCGGACTGGCTACTTCCTGTGGGAGAGCAGGAGCTGGAAGCAGAACTGGTGTCCATATGGTTGGTGAGGGCTGCCCTCTGGGGCAGGCACTTCTCCCTGCCGGGATCTCCTGTGTGAGGGCAGGTTGTCCATGTGGCAGTAGCCCTCTGGAGCCCTTATGTGCCCGGGTGCGGTCGGAATGAAGTCGGGATAAGAGATCTCTGGTGTGGAATCCTGATACTGCTAAACTGTCAGTGTGGGGGGAGCGGACGGGGCAAGGAGGCAGATAACACACTAGGGGAATGTATGCCGTGACAGGGGGCAATGTCAGAGGACAAGGGCCCTTAATTGAGACTTGAACAGTGGAGCTGGCAGGGCTAGGAGGGAAGGCCTATCCAGCGGGTGACATCAGTCAGAGCAGGAGCTGAAGGGGGTGATGGAGAGCACCTCAGAAGTTTCGGGAAGAGGACTGGAAAGCTGCCAGAAAGAGGAAAAGCAAGAGCAGAAGGCGGGGGCTGAGAGCATACGCACATGTTCCAGATGAGCTGAGCGTGGTGCTGGGGAGGAGGGAGAGTCAGTGATTGGGGAAAGAACACGAAGGGCTCTAGGACCATGCAAGACTTCAAAGAAAATATTTGCTATTTACTTTTTTTTTAAAGATTTATTATGTATACTTTTATTTTGTGTGTATTTTTTGTGAACGTATCTTTGTGTGTCACATCAATCGGATCATCTGGAGCTGGGGTTACAGGGTTCTGAGACACTATGTAGATTCTGGGAACCTAACCTGGGTTGCTGAAGGAACAGCCAGTGCTCTTAACTGCTGAGTCATCGTTCCCCTGACCCTCTTTCTTTCTTTCTTTCTTTCTTTCTTTCTTTCTTTCTTTCTTTTCTTTCTTTCTTTCTTTCTTTCTTTTTTCTCTTCTTCTTCTTCTTCTTCT